GATGTAACCTTAGAAAATCTTAGAATATTGGATAAACTGATATATATATTATATGTATATATATATTATAATAATAGTGATATATATATTATATATAGGTATTAATATCATTATATAGTAGTATTATATTTCCGATTGTTTGATTTCGCAAGGTAGAATATTGTTGATAAATTTGTTTGAGTATTTCCCTTGCTCACTTTCATGGCGATAACTGCAATCACATCTACGCACTCATTTAGTCTAAAATTTGGCTATCTTTTATTCTAAAAAATTACTTTGGGTTCAATGAGCTCTGCAGGAGGGGGTTGGTGCAATGACATATCCAATATGTTTTACCGCAAAAAGTCTCGCCATGGTTCATCATACAATCATGGAGCAGCAGCTACAGTTCACTGGAATTCTGAGCGATAAACCTGACGAAAAATACAGGTGGGTTATTTAACCTTAAACCCTTTCCCTGTTCCATTGCAAAAGTAGGGGAATAGAAGTTCTTGAATTTGACCATATGAGTAGTGACTTAACAAATGCAGATTTTTTATAACGGACAGATGTTAAGGTTTGCTACTGTGGATGGTTGGCGTCTTTTCTCTTGGCGAAGGCATGACAAGGGTTTGTATTTTTTTTTTTGATGTTTTATTCTTCCTTTTCGCACCTGTTCTTTTATAGCTGTTATTGTGTTATTTCAAGCTTCTCTAATAACTGGTACATCATAGATTCGAACAGAAATATCTAGGGAAATTTATTAGGTGTCGGATTCCGGTATAGTGCAGAGCAGCACCGGTTCTTCTATTTATTACAATGAAAGTACACGTCAAGAGCATAGCTTGTACAGTAATGCGCTTTCATAAAACGAGAGAAAACCGACGTTATCTCCGTCAAAGTGCCCCGACTAATAATTTTCTCATAAAAAGAAGTGAGAATCTTTCTAGTTTTAGATAAGTAACTGGCGTTTCAATTAAACTGCTGAAAATGATAGCGCTGTTTCTACATCCACGCTCTGTGAATTTTAGAGAGATCCCTCCGTCTTAAAATGCAGTCATACTATCATTACTGATGCCGTCATTATTGGCTGACTTTGCAATACTAAAGGACCTTTAGATTTCTTCATATGGTTCTTATTATTTTTTTGTTGGGATTATTTTAAAGAAGGCACAACCATTATGGCTTTCTCAGTAAATAGTTGATTGTTTAGTTCACACATCGATTGGCAGCTTTAAAGCAATCTCTCTAATCTCCTGCAACATGAAGTTATGGCTACAAATGCAGTGGACATTTTCTGATGGACCGATTTCCATTTCCCAATTTGATTATTATTGGCCTATAGATACTGCCCACTGGCTAACGATACATATAAAACTTGTTTTAAAATCTTTGGTTTTATTAACAGTGGTGCAGACAATGTTAGAGGTGCTTCCTGTGGTTTCAATTTGTAATATCCTGACAAAGGTTTTAAAGACCTCTTGAAAAGTCTAGCAGTTTCTTAGTGCCACAAATAAACTTTTGCAAATGTGCAATAGTTTGTTTATATTTATGTTTATTTTAGTTGAGTTCTAAGGCTTAACGTGGTACATGGACCAAGTAAACAGTTTCCAAATTGTGGTCAATTTATTCTAAATTACATGGAAGTTGCCATTTCAGTGCCTATGTGTTGTTTCTACTGTGCTTGATACGTTGAACTCAGACAATGCTACATTAATTTCGCTCCACTCTTTTTTTCTGCTATTGATGATGCAGTATTCACTGAGTTCCACCGCTGCATCATAACTTGTTAGTGTTGATAGAGAAATAAATTTCTATACTAAAGTCTCCATGTTTCACTTCAGTAATAAAGTTATTCTTCTTTCACTAGTGCCCTGGTTTTGTAATGGACGATTCAGATTTCTTGAGACAGAACAATGGCTCTACTGCTGAAGTTCTTGCTGGTTTCCATTTCAGGAGCAGGTCTTTTGTTTCCGTGGATCAAACGCATCTGGTTAGCTGCTATGAGAAGATTTAATGTTAAAGGGAAAATGCGTTATGCAAAATACAGGTTTATATTCTTTCTTTTGCAATGCATTTTTGTCATATTCCACGTCTTTCTGTGATACTCGTCACTGTCCCCAGGCACTTCGTACCGGCTGGCTCGCTGGTGGTGGTAGCAAGCCATCCCATTGCGATGGATTTCGAGCCTTATTCTCCGGCAAGCATAAGAGTCAAGTGTGGTTGGCGGTGCTGGATTGTTCCGTTGATGGGCGCGTATGAAATCTGATGACAGCATACATATTTACTTATTTGCTAAAATTTAACTCTAATAATTTGCCACATAGATCTCTTAACGTATATCGCGATTTCTGTTTTTATGACTAAAGCTCTTTGTTTGGGACGGCTTTCTTACTGCTTTCTTAAAGCGGCTTTTTTAGTCAATTTTTTTAAAACTTTGTATTAAAAGCGTTTTAAGAAGCAGAAGAGAAAGCAGCCTCAATACGAGCCTAAATAATTCTAATTCATCTTTTCGTCTCTCGGAAAGTCATAAATTTAAAGTTGATTAGAATTTTCAATCTAATTTTGGCTACTGTTGTGGTTTAATCTTGTGACTGTAGTTTGCTGTGGCTGTCCGTCGCACTTACAGATCCTTCTTTAGAGGAGTAGTAAGTTAGCAGGTACTTGTTACAAGCCTTTAATATTGGCATGTTTAAGCACTCTAATATGCTGTACATGTTTAATTAGTTGTTGAATAGACTTTAAAACTCTGGTTCCAAGTTTTTCTCTTAACCTTGTTGGTATTTGTTTTTCAATTTCTCTCTAGTACCAGTCATAAGCTTTTCTCTCTGCAAATAATTGTATTTGGGGCAAACAGGGGAGTGGGCTTCAAGGACTTACCACAGACCTGCACCTTCTCGCTTGAATCCTACTTTGGTAAAAATGATTCCATCTCCGATATAAGGTTTGATTTATACGCATAGGTAGGATTTAACAGATATCATAAGTTTATTATTCATCCTTCTTTCTTTTCAGTGCTTCTTTCCACAGAATGTGTGTGCATTATTCAGACCCCGCTTTTTTTCTTTGCAATACAGCATATGATGTTTGGCAGGTAAATAAATATATGCTACAAACTTTTAATTAATAAGACGCCAGTACTTGCTATTGTAATGAAAATTCTGCTCGTCTTTTTTATCGAACTTTTTACATGAACAAAGTGTGAACTATTCCCGAATACTTTGTTAATCTCCTCATTTTCATATTGGTTCCATTCTGGATGAACTAATACTTGATAGAGCAACCTGAAATATTACTGTTGTCATTTTTTTTCTTCCTTGGGTCTCAGCTCAAGGAGAGTCAGCAACCGAGAGGCGGCTGATCCTCATGGTTATATGGCAAGACATGAGGATGGATAAATGCAAAATGCAACCAGATCAAATACAGTTTCTCCAAGGTAATATTTTTTCATGCTATAATTTAATACTTATGCAAGTATTTAATTATTCACGTAACTTAAACGATATTTGCACTTGATCTTTTCTCTATTTATTCAGGAATCAAATGCTTATGTTAGTGGAAAGGTTCTCGTCATCAAAAAGAAATGGGATGATTTAATTAATTCATGTTTTTGCCCATTGCCAAAGTGAGAGGCAGGATACTTGGTTCGGTAGCAATGCCGCAACTATTAGGGACAGAGGTATGGTTTACACTGCAAACTCCTTATATTGTTATTAATGCTGCCAAAAAAAATTTTGTGAATTTCTCTTCGGACAATTTTCTACCCTTCGATAAAACTTCAATAGGCTTCACTAAAACTCTTTTTGTTTAAGTTATGAAGCTTGATTTTTTTCGCCTACAAAGAAATATGGCTATGTAAATAAATTAAGTAGCTCTTATAAAAATTTGAATAGAGGATTAGCGATTAAAAATAGGATTATAATTACTTATGAAGTCTTGAGTGATTTTTCATGCATTAAATAATAATATTATTATATAAATAATGTCATTATTGCTAATTAATTTCTTGATTAGAGGATGACTTGTGAGAGTGGGCATCACACGTGGCACATGGTATCACATTGGGGGGATTTGTAAAGTTGTCAAACTTGTCAATATTATCGACTTGCAAGGAGAATGTCCAATTGAATTTGCAATGAATATGAAACTTACTAAATTCTTGGACAAATTTTTAGTTAGGGGTGTCAAAATGGGTTAACTAATTGGATTTGCGTCAAATTTGCAATTGATCTGGCTTGAATTTGCACAACACGAACCTGACCCAATAACATTATTTTGATTAAAAAAATTTTAAACTTGTCAATTATATAATTTATGTAAATTGATAAAAATTGAAAAGATATGCCAACAAGCACAAAATCTAAATGAGTTAAGATCGGATATCTAGGTCAACACGAATATGACCCATTTAATGAACATATTAGAATTCCAAATTGATCTTGACTCGCTTATCAAACAGGTCAACCAAACTAAGAATTTGGTATATAAGTAATTAGGTCAAAGCGAAAATATTTTGATAGTTAAGAATTTCAGGTATTACATAATGATATCAGAGCAATACACTAACCAAAAAAAGATACAAGACAATGTGTGACATCATGAGGGCCACCTCTTCAACCCTATATGAGATACAATGCTACATAACGAGAGCCACCACTTGAACTAAAAAAAATGTTAAAATCGTAAACATTGAGGCGTCTTTTCACAAAGACATCAGTTACTTAAGCCAGAAAAATTATGAAATCCTTTAAAATAAAAAAAGAAATTAAAATTGTAAACATTGAAATGTCTTTTGATGTAATGATTGATGGTTCATTGAGAAGCTCTAAAGTTAAGCATTCTCCTCTGAAAGCAATCCTGCGATGTGCAATCTCTTCAAAAGTTACACCAACAAGATAAAATCATGAGGCCATTAGGCCAACGAGGACAATACTTCAATAGCTAAAAAGCTAGATTTTACATGAAGAGAGCCTGACTTCATAAACCTCATAACCAGCATCACTGAACACACTAACATTCATTCAAAAGAAAATTGTTCTCACCTCATTTATTTCAACAATAATCATTAACATAAATAAGAGCCAACAGAAGAAAGATTTAAAAAAAAACTAAGCAGAAACAAGATAGAAAATAACTGAGCATAATCAAGTTACAGCCCTAAATTAGCCTCCTCATCATTTTCAGAAATTTGGAGCAGCCTCAATGGTTATATCTCTCATAATGCAAGCAAAAATGTCTACATCAAAGTTACAGAGATGAAAAAGATAATATTCCAGTATTTCTGCAAGTAAAAATAAGCCAAGCAAGCCCATCAAAGCAGAAGATCCATTCAGCTCTGGACTGGAAGCTCACCAGAATTCACAATTCTACAAGGGCGCTTTGGGACATCAGACCTGCTGGTTTCCTGGGACTCTATCTTCTTCAAGACATCAATTCCTTCCAGAACATGTCCAAAAACGACATGGCGGTTGTCCAGCCATGGAGTCTGTTTTAGACGCCAATGGAGGAGGTGAATATATGCAGACCTTATAGTAATTCAATGTATAAACTATCTATAACTTCGACTTGCATGTTTTGCAATGAATATTTGACAAGATGGCAGCAAAGTAAGTAAATGTAGTGGGATTTTGGGTTTCGGCGTACTTGCTGAGGTTTTCTTAGGGTTTCGGCGGGCATGGAAGCGTCACGGCGTATCATCTATTTTTTTAGGGTTTAGATGGTGAAGCTTCTCGGGTAAACATACTTCCTTAGGGAAATTTACATACACTTTATTTCATACTATTTATATATCTAACACCCAAAACATTAATATTACATGCCTATCGCCTATATACAACTTTAATATCAAATATATCACTCCTATAATTCATTTCTACCATTCATATCATTCTATAAACTTTAATATTTCATTTCAAGCACTCAAATTTATTATATGAGTGATAAACATGTAATATTAATGTTTTGGGTATTAGATATGTAACTAGCATGAAATAAGGTGGTAAGTATGAATTTTGTATATAAGAAAGATTTTGATATTATGTTTATAAATATCTTGTAAATAAGATGGTAAAGCTTCTTCCATACTCACTATTTTGAATTTGCTAAAAACAGGGATGAAGGTTGTGAACAGATTCAAGCAGGCACGAGCAATGGTGGCAATGCCTTTGCTTTAAACAAAGAGGGCAAAGGTTTGAATCGCATCAAACAAAACAAATAAGATTCTGGTAAGGGGAGTTTACTTTGTCAAAAATGGACAGTGTAGGCGTTTAAACCACCAAAAATTATAGAGAGAGATACCTTCACTGTGCATATGAAGAACTGGCTTCCATTAGTATCAGGGCCTGCATTAGCCATGCTTAAGACTCCGGGTCCAATGTGCTTCACTGGAAGAATGAAATACTAATTATAAGTTCGAGGCATCAGTGCAACAAAGTAAACAAAAATACGACTACTTTCAAGTTATTATCATCTCTAAAAAATAAGAAATTTATGTCTGAAATGCTCAAATCTGGCATTACAAATAGAACTGCAATGGGTCAAAAATCAATCCATTTACCACTACATGTGGATCGAATTTTTTTTTCCCCAGACCGGCGGGGAAGGAGGTAGTGGGCGGCTTATGAGGCTCCAATCGTGGCTTGAGAATCGTCGGTCGAAGATGCTCGCAAGAATTGAGACGACTCGCTCCAAATATTCTTCAATGGTGGTCTCGTCTTCAAATCCCACGTCGAAGCACGGAGATCTTAGGATGTTCATGCTTCCGTCGGCGTTGAATACAAGACCCCATTCAAACTCGGGATCCGCCATTCAACATTGAAGAGAACCGGAGAGAGAGGTGTCGTCTTCTCCTCTTCTTGCTGTAATTTCCCAAGAGAGGGAGTGAGGAGGTGGTCGACCAAAACAGAGGAGGAAGCGGGCGGGTGGATGGGATGGGGAAAATTAGGTTAGGAAAGGGGAAGAGGAGAGTTACACAAATATGAAATTAATTTCAGAATTTGAGTAAATTGGAGGGAAGCCAATTTGAAATTGATTTCAAATTATCAATGGAATTAAGGGGCACTTAATGGGCATTAATGTGGCCCATTAAAGAGGAGGCCGGCGGCTCAAGAGAGAGAGAGGGAGAGGGTGATTTCAAAAATCTGAAATTTAATCCAGAGTTTGAACGAAATTAGGGGAGGATTAATTTGAAATTGATTTCAAATTAATGGGGTAATCAATGCATTAATTGGCAGCATGAATGAGGGCCCATCCATGGTGGCCGGTGGCTTCAAGGGGAAGGGATTTGGTGTGGGAGCAAGTAATTAGTTTCCAAATTGGCACATGAGGTTTAAGAAAGATTAGGATGAAATCCGTTTGAAGTTGAATATCGTCATGAAAACGGATTTAAAACTTTCCTAATTTGGAATTTCCAAAATTGGAAAGTTTTTGGAAATTCAAATTTTGAATTTTCAAAATTGGGATTCGTGGTGGATGGGGATGAGGCCGACGGTTGAAGCTTACCGGCGGGTGGTGGAAGGTGGGGTGACCGGCGGCTAAGAGGGGCCTAGGGCCGGCGGGTTTGGGGAGAAGGAAGAAGAGCGGGATGAAGGGGATAAACCACGAGCCACGGACTCTTCCAATGACTGGTGGGTATTGCTTTTGCCCTCACCTTGGGCTTTCTCTCTCACTTCTCTCTAGCTCTCATGCAAGAAGAGTAAGAAGAAACAAAATCAAATTTTCATTCAATAATTCATTAACCCTTTTACATCGCATGAGACCACTATATATAGGTCTCCAATCAAGCAAAGAGAAAGTACATAATTGCCCTCTGGGCTACAACATCAAAGTAACTCCCCACAGGGGTAAAAACGAAAAAGACTGTAAATAAAAGATAAAATAATAAAATACATCGACTACATCATGACATCTGAATAAAAAATAGAGGCGCTAAATCGTGGCCGTCGATCTGCGATTTCGACGGCGATAAACATGTCGGTAGCGTCTGTCGATGTCCTCATCATTCTCCCCAGGTAGGAGAAAACTCGACCCTGTCGAGTGAGTGTCTCTAGAGCTCTCGTACCACTCTAGAAGGTCTGGGTCTAGACTCTGCAACTCCTCTCGGTCACCCACGTATCCTCCGTCGCCGGGGTCCCTTTCCAGTGAACTAAGTACCTTCGACGTCCGCCTCCTTTCGCAGTAATGATCTCATCATCTAATATGTCTTCAACTATCTCCGCATTGGGTAAGGGGGGTAAATTTGGGAGTGGAGGAAGGCTTGGGATCTCACCAGGTATGGTCGCACAAGGCTCATTTGTAAGTGGATTGTATGGGTTAAATTCTGGTTCCTCGAAGGTTACTAAATCTTCTATGTTAAATGTGAGGTTAATGTTGAAACCTTCGGGAAGGTCGAGTACGTAAGTATTGTTATTCACCTTTGAAACTATCTTGAACGGTCCGGTGCTTCTCGCATGCAACTTCTCGGCGGATCCAAGAGGAAAACGCTCCGGACGGATCCGGACCATCACAAAGTCTCCAATTTCGAATTCTTTAGCTCTTCTCTTATGATCAGCCATAAATTTATAATTCGCATTACTTTGCTCAATTTTCTTTTTAATTTCTTTATGTAACTCCTGTAGATGCGATGTAAATGAAGATGCTGACTCTGATATCCTAACTCTAGTGTTCATGGGAATCAAATCAATAGGTTGGTTGGGAAGATATCCGTACACTATTTCAGCGGGGCTAAGGTTTTGAGTGTTAGATATGTAAATAGCATGAAATAAAATTGTATGTATGAATTTTGTATGTAAGAAAGATTTTGATATTATGTTTATAAATATCTTGTAAATAAGATGATAAAGCTTCTTCCATAGTCATTATTTTGAATGTGCCAAAAACGGAAAATTATTATGTTCGGGGTCCGGATTCGTCCGGACACCAATCCAGACGCGCCATGTCACCCAGATACACCCGGGGCCCAGTGTATCCGAGTGATGTGGAGCGTCTGGATTGGTGTCCGGACGGTCTGGTCACCAAATGTAATAATTTGCCGCCAAAAACAGGAATGAAGGTTATGAATAGATTCAACAGCCAAGAGCAAAGTTGGCAATGCCTTTGCTTTCAACAAAGAGGGCAAAGGTTTGAATAGAATCAAACAAAACAAATAAGATACTGGTAAGGGGAGTTTACTTTGTCACAAATGGTCAGTGTAGGCGTTTAAACCACGAAAAATTATAGAGAGAGAGATACCTTCACCGTGCATATGAAGAACTGGCTTCCATTAGTATCAGGGCCTGCATTAGCCATGCTTAAGACTCCGGGTCCAATGTGCTTTACTGGAAGAATGAAATACTAATGATAAGTTCCAGGCATCAGTGCAACAAGTAAACAAAAATACGACTACTTTCAAGTTATTATCATCTTTAAAAAATAAGAAAATTATATCTGAAATGCTCAAATCTAGCATTACAAATAGGACTGCAACGGGTCAAAAATAAATCCATTTACCACTAGATGTGGATCGAATTTTTTTTTCCCCAGATTATCTACTCAATGCATTGATAGAAAATAGTCAATGCAATGATAGAAAATCCTATATATATATATACTACTATCATTTTATAATAATACGAGCACTTAATCCTAGAGCATTCATTCATCCCTTTGAATAGTTGAGATTTAAAGAAGACCATCCTCCTCTTCAAATCCTACTATCAACTTTAAAAAATTAAAGTATACTTCAATTATTAAACATTCAAATACGTGGATGAATGATGTAAGTGCTCCTATTCATCTAAGAGAATCATCTCTCCCTCTTTCTTTTTTATCATTGTTATATATACAATAACATCATGCTTTTATCCCACAGCGTGGGGTTGACAAAATGAATTCTTTTGCTCCGTTGTGTTCAGTTAAAAGTCAAATTCTCTATTCTAATACTTTATAACTAAGTCTTTTTAGGTCTATCTCTACCTTTCTTAACAAATGCCAAATCTAATGCATTGCTCTCCTAACCGGGTCATTGCAAGGCCAACGTTTTATGCGACCAAACCATCTAAGGCGACTCTCTCTAATCTTATTTGCCACTGGAGCTACACCAACCTTTTCACTTATATGCTCTTTTCGCATTCTGTCTCTAAGAGTAAAGCCACTCATTCACCTGAGCATCCTCATCTCTGCAACACTTAACTTATTTTTATGATTCTCTTTTAATGGCCAACATTCTGCGCCATAAAGCATTGCGGGTCTCACCACCATCTTATATAATTTTCTCTTAAGTTTGAGGGGTACTTTTCTTTCACACAACAAGCCCGATGGATTATTCCGCTTCAACCATCTAATTTGAATTCAACTAATAATATCCTCATTGATTTCATCATCACTGTGAATAATAGACCCCATATAACTAAAACGTGTACTCTTTTTAATGACTTGATCGCCCAAAGAGATAGTCCCCCCTAGTTCTATTATTACTACTAAAATTACACTCAATGTACTTGGCTTTAGATCTACTCAAGCGAAAACCTTTAAACTCTAAGGTGATCTCCATAATTCAAGTTTTCTTTTAACACCATCTCTAGTTTGATCAACAAGAAGAATATAATCAGCAAAAAGCATACACTAGGGTACAATTTTTTGCAAATGTCTAGAAAGAATATCTACGACTAAAGAAAAAAAGTATGGACTTAAAGTTGATCCTTGATGTAATCCAACTGAAACACAAAAATACTTGATTAAAATAATTTATAACAAGAATAATCCTAAACTATTAATAGTTCACTCAAATACTCTTACCTTACTTCATCTTCTTAGCTTTAAATCATCGTTACCCATCAATCTCATTTTCTCTCTGTAATACCACAACTAAAAAATAAAAAATAAAATCCAACCGACCTTATACCCCCAACCCAAACCACCATAGTTTTCTTCCCCCTTCTGCAACCAACTTTGTCCCACTGCCTTGAGAGCTTTGGAAAGGGCTTCCCCATGCCACGCATCAAGAGTCCCCTTCTTCATCTCTTCAACTAACAACCACTGCAGAGAGCTTGTTCTCATTTTTTTTCCTCCCAACACAAGTTCGTGAGCCTTCCTCCTTGCCTTCTTCTTTGATTTCTAGCTAAGGCATTACATCCATCATCTCTTTCCATGCTTCGTCTTCATAACAGAAACTTCCTCCAAGTAGATCCATAAATAACACCAAGAGAGCTGAATTTACTAATCTCCAACCAAAGTAAAACAAGTTACAAGTTGATTCACTATTCAAGAGGTGAATCGTCTCTCCCACAATTCCTAGCAGCCACTTGGAACCCAAACACCCCACAAAAAATGTTGTAGAAAATCAAAATATGACATAAACCATAACCCTCCAAAATCTCCCCCTTTAAATAACCTTAATTCCCTAATAAATGTCCCTTACATCTTTCCCAAAGAGTTCCCCCTAAAGCTTCTTCTCTTATAGGTGATATAGGAGGTGCTGAGCCCCACCTGGCCAGTTGTGCTGCCAGCCACCACATCAATACTCCCCTCCAAAAAAGTCACATTGTCCTCAAGGTGGAAAGAGAAACTACTTCCGGATGATACTATAGGACTCTCATGTCACCTCATACTATAGTAAATCCTTCCACTTGATTAACACATTCCTGATCCCTTCACCTCCAATGATTCTAATACCACCATGAAATCCCCTGCAACCTCCACCACAAATCCCTGACAGATATACATGCTCTTCTCTGCCTTCCTATACCCATCACCCCAAAGCATCCCGTGTCTACCAGCTTTAGCTCCATCTTGTCAACCATCTGATTGGATATGAAATTGTGGGTAGCCCC